ATAAAATACTAGACTGTGTGGCTTCAACAGCAGACATTTGTTTCTCATAGTTTTGGAACTTGGACGTCCAAGGCACTAAGAGATTTGGTAATTGTAAAGTCTCTCTCTCTGGCTTGCAAGAAGCTGCCTTTTTTTTTTTTTTTTTTTTTTTTACATTTATTTATTTTTGATAGGGAGACAAGAGTGTGAGGGGGGAGGCAGAGAGAGAGGGAAACACAGAATCCGAAGCAGGCTCCAGGCTCTGAGCTGTCGGCACAGAGCCTGACTCAGGGCTCAAAATTCATGAACTTTAAGATCATGACCTGAGCCAAAGTCACCCCAAGAAGCTGTGAAGACGCTCAACTGCCTGAGCCACCCCAGAGCCCCAGGAAGCTGCCTTTTTTGACTGTATCCTCATATGGCAGGGAGATGAAGCTTTGGTATCTCTTTCTCTTCATATAAAAGCACATATCTCATCATGGGTGCTCCACCCTCATGACCTTATCTGAAGCTAATTATCACCCAAAGGCCCTACATCCCAATACTATTACGTTGGGAGTTAGGGCTTTAACATATGAAGTTTTGTGGGGACAGAAACATTCTGTCCATAGTGCAATTTTTCCACATGACTTTGCAGTCCCTTCTACTACTCCATAGGAGGAGACATTTTTTTCCTGCCCATTGACGTTGTCCTTGAACATGCAGACTTGAGTTGGCCAACAATGTATTGGCAGGAATGATATAAGCTGAATTTGAAATGCTTTTGAGTCACAGGCCTGTCTTTTGAGCTCCTGCCACCGCCAGTAGGAGAACACTGTCCATGTTTACTAGACTCCCAGCAAAGGATGAAGCACGTGTAGAGCAGATCTGTCCCCGTCGTCACAATCTGAAGAAGCAGCACCCCAGTTTGCAGAATCGTAGGGAGACGCAGAGCTGCCCAGCCAAGCTCCTCACTGGCCAGCTACACCCCAGCAAAACTACAACGAAGTAAATATTTTAAGCCACTTACTTTTTGGGTGATTTTTTAATGCAGCAACGGTCAACCAAAATAGTCTTATTTTATTAAAGTCTGTCTTGTGTTCCATAGCAGAAATGAAAAATATTTTTCATATATGTCTTATATATGTCCTTTCAAATATATACCTAAGGTTTTGCTTATACATTCTTACTTTGAATAAAATATTCACCACTGTATTTGAAAATTGTAAGTAGCAAAGCAATTAAGATTTAAATATTAATTCTGTGTCCAGGTACCTTACTGAACTGTCTTATAATTACTAATACCTTTTGAATATTGATGATAAAAAACTGCATTCTAGGCGCACCTGGGTGGCTCAGTTGGTTAAATGTCCAACTTCAGCTCGGGTCATGATCGCTCGATTTGTGAGTTCGAGCCCCACACTGGGCTCTGTGCTGACAGCTTGGAGCGTGGAGCCTGCTTCTGATTCTGTTTCTCCTCCTCTCTCTGCCCCTCCCCGCCTCATGTCTGTCTGTCTGTCTGTCTGTCTCTTTCTAAAATAAGCACTAAAAAAAACCTGCATTCTATTTTGTATGGATTCTAGATGATTATGTTTCACTGTATTCAAATCCAACACCATAGTTTTCATGCACCATAGTGCATTGTTCCTTTACCTATGAGTTTGTTATTTCAAGTTGTCCTTTATGTAACTGGACTGTATCCTCAATAAACTGTATGCAGACATAATTTATATGCAATAAAGTACCCATATTTTAAGTGTACAGTTTAATAAGTTTTGACAGATGTATACAACTGGATAACCACCACTATAATCAAGATACAGAATGTTTCAATTATTCTAAAAGGATCCTTTAGCTCTGTGAAGTCAAACTCTATCCTGAACCCCAAAGCATATATTGATCTCCTTTTTGTCACAATAGATTATTTCTGTCCCTTCTAGAATTTGGTATAATTAGAATCATACAGTATGCTCTTTTGCATCTGGTTTCTTTTGCTCAGGGTAATATTTCTGCAGTTCATCCATGTTATTGTGCTTATCGGTACTACCCTTGTTATTTTTTAAATTGCCAGGTAGTAGATGCTCAACATCTTTTCACATACTGAGTAGCCATTCAGATAGCTTTTGTAAAATATTTAAATCTTTTGTCTATTTTTAAATGATTTTTATTTTTATCAGGTAGTGGAAGTTATGTATACATTTTGAGTCGCAGAACATGTCACATGTATGTATTATAAATATTTTTGTGTGTCTGCCCTTCTTATGGGTGCACTTAACAGCATCTCTGGAACAACAGTTTGAGAAGGCCATTCTTCATAGGTTTCTCGTGTTTCTACATTTATTGTGAGCAAGTTGCTAATTGAACTTTTCCCTGGAGTATCTTTTAATGGATGTTTGTAGAGCACTCAGCCTTGAAAGAGAGCGATAGTGTCTCTCTCCAGAGCAGAGGGCAGGTATGCTGACTGTCCAGGAGAATAAAGGTAATGTTTCCTTCTGGAGCAAAGGGCAGTCATGTATACTGCACATCATAAAAGATTTGAGTTCCCTAAGGTCAGGGTTGCTTCTCAGCAGTGCAACTCAATGCATGTTCAGGCATCCATCTGGGCCCAGCTGCCTCACCCCAGTGGGATTTAGGGACAAAAAGAATTGGGGGAAATAGGCTAATGGTCACGCTTCTTCTGTTCTGTGAGTAATTAAGTGCTGATGCGAGAGTCTTGCGTGACAGCATCCATGGAGTCCAGGCAGGCTCACTTATTGGTTGGCAAGTTAGATAAAACATCAATTCTTTCATAGTTCCCGGCAAAAGGCATTTTTAATGTTGATGAAGTAGATTTTGCCAGTTTTTCCTTTTGTAGTCCCTGCTTGTTCTATTAAAGAAACATACCCCAAGATTCCTAAGATTTTCTTCTAAAATTTTGTAATAGTAGGCTTTATGTTTTGGTCAACGATTTATTTCAAGTCAGTTTTTGTGTAGATTATAAAGTACATATTGTTTCATTTAAAAAGTATTGAAATTTAGTTGTTCTAGTGCCATTTTGTAAAGACTCTTCTTACCCTCTGAATTATCTGGGCAGCTTTGTGATATTGCAGGACCATGGATACATGGGTTTATTTTTGGGTTCTCTACTGGGTCCATTGGTTTATTTATATTTACTTATGTACTATAGCTTTCTCATGTGTCTTGATATCAAGCAGCTTAATACCTCCACCTTCATAATTTAAAAAAATTAATTTGGCTCTTCTAGGTCTTTGCTCTTTCATATACATTTTTAAATCATCTTGGCAATTTCTACAAAAAGCCTTGCTGTGGTTCTCATTGGGATTGCATCAAATTTATTTATAAATTGTAGGAAACTGAACCTAAATATTTAGTTTTCCAGTCCACTAACAACCATCTATTTATTTCAGCCTTCTTTGATTTTTCTCACCAATGTTTGGTAATTTTCAGTTACACTACTTTCAGTTACTTTGCTAAATTAATTCATAAGCATTTCATGCTTTGGGATGGTATTGCAAATGGTATCATCTTATACAATTTATTATTTATTTATAGCATAGAGAAATATGATTGCTTGTATCTTGCCTTGAGTCCTACTATATTGCTGACTTCACTGATTAGCGCTAGTAGCTTTATGTAGATTCCTTAGCAGTTTTTACACAGATGATCATGTTATCTGGGAATGAAGAAAGATTTACTTCTTCTTCACTGATCTTTTTGCCCTTTTATTTTGTTTTCTTGCCTTTTTGCACTGTGCAGTTTCTTTGTGGAAGGATATTTAATTATAAATTTAATTTCATTAGAGGTGCCTGCCTAATTTCATTAGTAAGTTACCTTCAGTCAGATAAGTGTCCAACTCTTAATTTTGGCTCAGGTCATGGTCTCAAGGGTCATGGGAATAAGCCCCACATCAGGCTCTGCACTGACAATGCAGAGCCTGCGTGAGAGTCTCTCTCTCCCTCTCTTTGCCCTTCTCTGCATATGCACACGTGTGCACTCTCTCTCTTTCTCAAAATAAATACACTTAAAAAATTTAATTTTGTTAATAAGTTTAGGACTTTCTGACTATTTGGCTTTAAGGGTCTGTTTTGTAAATGTGTTTGTCTTGGAAACGTCCTCAAGCAATTTGGCTTTCCTGTTTCCTTTTGAGTCTATTTTGTAACTTGTGTTTTTCAAGGGACTTGTTCATTTCATCTAGGTTACTCAGACTACCAGCATACATTTTTTAAGTAATCTCTAATTCTTTTAATGACTGGCATATTTTTAGCCATTTTTCTTCCTTTGTACCTTATGCTGATAATCTGAGTTGTCCTTTTGTTTTGTTACTGTTCAGTTCAGCCAGAACCTTGGCAACTTTATTACTCTTCAGAGAACAGATTTTTGTTTCATTAATTTTCTCTATTTTTTCTGTTTTTTTGTTTTATTGATTTCTGCTCTTATCATTATCATTTTTACTTATGTCAGGCTTAATATCACTCTTCTTTTTATACTTTCATAATGGGGAATCTTGAAAAATAGATTTTAGAATGTTACTTTTTTCTAATATAAGGATTAAAAACTATAAATTTCCCTATAAATAATTGCTTTATTTGCATCTTATAAATTGTATTATGTTTTCTTTTCTTTTTTTTATTTTAGAGAAAGAGATAGAAGCAGGGTAGAGGGGTAGAGAGAGAGAGAGAGAGAGAGAATCTTAAGCAGACTCGATGCTCAGTGTGGAGCCCAATGCAGGGCTTGAGCCCACGACCACAAGATCATAATCTGAACTGAAATCAAGAGTCTGATGTTCGTTCGACTGAGCCACCCAGGCTCCCTGTTCTGCAAACTCTGAAAATTATTTCTTGTAGTGCATGTCTTCTGGTAACTAATTCTCTCAGCTTTTGTTTATCTAGGATAAAGTCTTTAGTTTGTCTTCATTTTGGAAGACAATTTCAGGTTGACAATACTTTTCTTTCAATATTTAAAATATGTCATTTCATTGATTTCCAACTTATTTTATTTATGACCAGTGATCTGTGCTCATTCTTATTTTGTATACTTAAAAGGGGAGGTATGAAGAAGATAACCCTACAGCTCACTGCCCGGAGACAGGGTTTGCTTGGCAGCACACTGAGGCTAAAGCCACACAAAGCTGAACACGAGTGGTGTTGGTGAGTAAAGGATATGGCTCAAAGTTGGTAGAGGCTAAGGGGGCTACAATTTTCAGGATGTTATACTGAAGAGGATGCAACTGTCAGGGAAGAGTTCTGTTCTTCTTTCTCATAATTGATTTGGCTATTTGTGGTTCAATAAGAATTATAGAATTGTTTATTATTATGTCTATTTAAAAACTATCACTGACTGGCTCAGTTGGTAGAGCATGACTCTTGGTCTTGCAGTCATGAGTTCAAACCCTATGTTGGGTATAGAATTTACCTTGAAAAAAGTGTCATTGGAATTTTGATAGAGATTGCAACGAATCTGTAGATTGCTTTGGGTATTAAGGACATTTTAACAATATTAAATCTCCCAATCCATGACATGAAATGTCTTTCCATTTGTTTGTGTCTTCTTTAATTTCTTTCATCAGTGCTTTGACCTTCTTAATTAGGTTTATTCCAAAGTATTTTACTTTTGGTAATTTTAAATTGGTTATTGGGATATTGTTTTCCTAATTTCCTTTTCAGATAGTCCATTGTTAGTGGATAGAAATGTAACTGTCTTTATTTGTTGGTTTTTTATTCTACAACTTTATTGAATTCTTTTATTCTATTCAGTCTTTGGGTGGCGTCTTGAATGTTTCCTACATATAAGATAATGTCATCTGCAAACAGAGACCACTTCACTTTTGACTTTCTGACACATGTACCATGTATTTGTTTATTGATTTAGCTTAATTTCTCTAACTAGATTTCTGGTACTATGTTAAATAGAAATGGCAAGAGTGCACATTCTTGCTACATTCTCAATCTTAAAAGATTGAGATATTTTCCTAGTTTGGTGAGAATTTTCATTATGAAAGGGCATAGAATTTTACCAATGCTTTTTTCATGATTTCTTGAGACAGTTATACAATTTTACATTTTATTATGTTTTTTTAAAAAACTTTTTAATGTTCATTTATTTTAGAGAGAGACAGAGTGCAAGCAAGGGAGGGGCAGAGAGAGAAGGAGACACAGAATCTGAAGCAGGCTCCAGGCTTTTAGCTGTCAGCACAAAGTCTGATGTGGGGCTCAAACTCATAAGCCATGAGATCATGAACTGAGCCAAAGCTGGACGCTTAACTGAGCCACCCAGGAGCCCTTACACTTTATTTTGTTAATGGGATATACGACATGAATTGATTTTCTTATGTTGAACCATCCTCAAATCCCAGGGATAAATCCTACTTGATCAAGATATATGATACTTTTAATGTGCTGATGAATTTGGTTTGCTAGTATTTTGCTGAGGATTTTGGCATCCATATTTATCAGGAATATTGGCTTATAGTTTTCTTTTCTCATAGTGTCTTTGTCTGGCTTTGGTATTGGAGTAATGCTGGTCTCATAAAATGAGTTTGGAAATATTCCTTCCCCTTCAGTTTTTAAGAAGAGTTTGATAATGATTGGTGTTAATTCTTTGTTAAATGTTTGGTAGAATTCACCAGTGAAGTCATCTGGACCTGGGCTTTTCTTCGTTGAAAGTTTTTTGATTATTGACTCCATCTCCCTACTAGTTATAGTTCTGTTCAGACTTTCTGTTTTTTATGATTCATTCTCAGCAGGTTGTATATTTCTAGGAATTTATCCATTGCTTCTAGGTTATTCTGTTTGTTGGAACACTGTTCATGCTAGTCTCTTACAATTCTCTTTATTTCTGTGACATCAGTTGTAATGTCTCTTCTTTCATTTCTGATTGCTTCCTAAGCTGCCTTTTAGTTCACATATTTAGTCTTTCTTTATTTCTATGATACCTCATTTGTTAATTCAATGAATTTTTGTTGAGACCATTGTATTTTACACATTGATGATGCAGGTACAAAAACCAATCAGACAAAAACTCTCCTCATATGGATGTTGGAATTTATTAATATGGTTATGACAATGCTTTTGTCTTTTGAAATAAAATGAACGTATGTTAATACCAAGTTAAATTCTCTTTATTTTCCTCGTCCAAATCCAGCCTTGTCCAGTTTCACTCCAACCACATTGCCTTCCTCTTCTGCCCAATAGATGTCTCCCTTCCTCTCACATACCATTACATTATCATTCGTATCAATATGCAGACCTTATGTCACACACTCTCAATTTAATTAATTAAATGTACTATAATAGCATTTTTATTCTGCATTTTTTTGTTTTTTAAAAAAGTTTTTATTTAAATACCAGTTATTTAACATACAGTGTAATATTAATTTCAGGTGGTCATTTTTAAACATTTTTGTTCACACAAAAGTATTATTTTTAGGTCTGTCAGAGACAAATATAGTCAAACATTATTTAAAGTATTGAAAACTGATTTTATTGCATAAATACAGACAGCAGGGGAAAGAACTGAGCTCCATTCCAATTTGTGCAGAGGTGGATGAATGTCTTGAAGAATGAGGGATTAGGGAAAGGGTGGACCCAAGCAGTGTCCGGGGAGTGAAAAATTACAAAAAGTAGGTAAGAGGGTGGATCAATTAGGCCAACTGTGTCTCCTAGCTAGCAATTATTGAGGTTAGGATTATGTCCTCCCACAAGGACTGGGAGACAAAAACCGCTCTCCTTCCTGAAGTTTACATTTCAAAGAGATGGCTTCAGATTCTTGAGAAAGACCTTCCTAAATCGTAGGAGGTAAGCATATATCTCAAAGGGACAGGGTAGGATTTACAACTGTAAGATCTATCGATCGATCGATTTATTTATTTATTTATTTATTTATAAATATTCTAAGAAAGTGGGGGTAGGGGCCTATTGTCAGGTGTTGAACAGAACAAACAATAAATTCCTTTGACAGCCTTTAGTTTTTTCAGGCAGGAACTCATAGAAAGACTGAGTAGTCCCAGAAATGTGGCCGTAGGCTGCCAAGAATCATGATAGGTTTGGAAAAGTCTCTTAGTGTAGGAACTTGAAGTAGTTATGTACGGAGAGGTCTTTTGTGCTTCTGAATTCCCATCCTCGGATCCCTTATGTTGCAGCATTTTTTACCTCAATATCAAGGAGTCATTGTCTCACCGCTTTGAAGAATGAAGAGGTGGACACAGAATGAGCAATAGGCAGAAGTTTATTAGAGTGTTAGATTAGAAGATAAAGATAATAGGAAAGCTCTCTTTACAGGGAGTGGGCATTCGAAGGTGAATCCTATAGGCAAGGATTCTGGTTTTATAAGGTTCTGGTCAGCACTCCTTTCCCTTCCTCCTCCTTTCTTCTTGGGTTCTACCCTTACTGGCTGGATAACTCTAGGTGCTGGGCTGTCCATTCCTGATTGACTCGACTTGACTCCATTATATGAGGAGTCGGACTGGTCATACTGTCCCTCCTGTAATGTAGGTTTTATGGTTTACTTTTTTTAGTTAGGTATTTTGATTGTGAAATTCCTGAGGGAAATCTGAGGGGGAGCAGATGGTGTCTGTTACATTCTTAAGAGGGACCTTACGCTAGAGGGGGTTTGCTGTAGTCAAACGTTCCCAGCATTGTTTCAAAATATGTGTTTTTCCCCACCCGGGGACGTCAGGTCCTAAACTTTCCCTCTCTGCCAATTTTAACCTATCATATCCTATCATACTTACACAATATGTCGGACACATAGTAGCTTCTTGGTGAATGTCGACCAAATTCTTTTAAATACTAATATTCCTATAAAATAACCAGATCCCAATCTTTTTTTTTTTTTTCTGTTGGTATCCATTGGCCTGCACTACTCATCACTGATACTCAAGAACCCCTGCTAGAACTGTCTTGTACAGTTTATATACTGCACAAATATGTCTGGATGAAGGGGTTTAGGGTAGCTTAAATCCAGCTTCTGCTTTACTTTGCTGTGAGCCCTAATATTAGCTTTCGTACCCTCTAAATCACACAAATACATCATATGGGCTAGTGGCTGTGCTGTCAGTTACAATACCTGGGTCACAGAGTTCTAAATAAGGCCACTGGATGTGTTCTAACTTCTGTTCTGGAGAGTTGCCATGAAAGCAATTTTAAACCACATTTTTCAACAATTACCTTGATTTTTGCCTTCTTTGTAACAAGTTTCATTTGCCAAGGTCAAGTGTTTGAGCACTAAGGAGCACAAGTTAGTCCTTTATAAAGGTCTGTTTGATTTAGATTCTACTGAAGGCCTTCAAGAGATTGGATTTGTAGCCAGGGCCTCTCAAATATAATCATGACCTTGGTAACCACGGTCACAACCAAGAAAGACACAGATTCCTCTCTAGAGAGTTAACTGTCCTTTTTGTTGATTTTGTTTTGAGGATTTATCTATTTTTGCTATCTTTGTTACATACGTTTATGTAGAGATACTTGCAGGTAAGGTCATAATTTGTTCTTGAGTAATACTAATTTTCTTTTTTATGTTCATGGGTATTTTTTTAGACTTTGAAAGGCTGGACCTACTTTCCAACTCAATAGTTTGCTGGTGTTTCATTCCTTCACATACTGACTACATTCCCATTAACCCACCCCCAATTTTTCTCTACCAAAAGCAAATAAATTCCTCATACACACATAAAAAATTAAACACCATTTTGACTTTTTGCAGTGTTTATAAACAGCATTTAAATTCTTTAGGAAGAAACTAAAACATTGACAATAACAGTGGAAAGTGGTGTATTTGTTTGGATTTAGAAAATTGGTTTTTAGAGTTCTTCATGGTAGTGTAAAATACTTAATATCAGATAATAATATATTCCTTCTTTTGGAAAAAATTATCTTGAAAAGGCTAAAACAGTTGGGATATATATCAATATCTTCTATTATCCTCAACTTTACTAACATTTACCTTTTAAATTTTGTGTAATTGACAGAACTAGCTTTTTTCCAGCTTTTGTCTAAACCAAAATAGATTCAAATGTCTTCCATTAAGCATCAGAGAGCATCCAGCTTTAAGCATTAAATTGTTGCCCACTTGTAAGAAGCAAGAATTCTTATTTGTCTGTTTCAAGACTCATCAGAGCACATTCTCCAGTTACCATGGAAACTATCTCCAGCTAAATTTGAGAGGGTCTCTGAACAGAACTGAAATGCCAACGGTAATAGAAAGAGCCATGTTTTAATTCTGGAAATTATTTGCCTTTTTTTTTTTTTTTTGGTCTTAGTTAAGGTGCCAAATTATTCAGACAGAACACAATGACTTGGCTATTAATGATTCTGAAGATAATACTTGAGCGAAAATTTGTTTTGATAGGAAAAGAGTGAGAGAATTGGAAAACAAAGCTGACAGAATTCATACTGATGAACATATTTTTTAGTTTTCAAAGTTGGGCATCTCAGCTACGTACGTTTTACTATTGATTTCATATTCATTTGTATTTGTGTGTTCTCAGAGAAATAAGTGACAGCCTGTGAGATGCTTATTTTTAGACATTATTTTATAATCTTCATCACTTGATATATTGCACTTTTAGCCAGTACATCAAAAATATTGCAGAGTTTCCAAGTGTAAGAAATATTTACAATTTTGTTTTACTTGGTACAGTTACAGGTGATGTTACCATAAATTGAACATTTCTCCAGTAATAGAAATTCATAGTTGTATTATAAAGGTTATTTTAGCTTTTTGTAGTAATGGAAAAACTAGGTACAATTATGACAACTATTTTCTTTTTTCCCCCAGTAGAAATGCTATTTAAACTTTAGATGTTTGTTTATGTTTTCATAAGTGTATGAATTTTATTTGGAATTTATTTTTCATCACAGATGGGAAAATTTAGAGAAGGCAATGAATTGTGAGATGGAAGAGAGGAACCTAGACATTTTGTAGAAGTCACTCCAGCCCTCCGGTGTTCCACTTGAGGAAAACAGTCCCCGGTGATTTCTTACTTTCACCATGTCACATCTGTAGCGTTAGTTCTGTTGAAACCTGAGTGTCTTAGTCCCCAATCCAGTGTGGTTGGCCTTTCCATGTGACCTATTTCATAAGTCATCTTTTTATTTGAAGACTGTCCAAACGATAGTGTAACGTATGCCTATTAAAGTAGTCGAAACCCCAAAGGCTTACTAAATTTTTTTGGCCTTTTGGTTGAAAGCGATATTTGCCTTTGTAATAAAGGCATTACTTGAGTAAAAGAATGATACACCTCTAAGTTTTCTGACTATGTATACTTTGAGAAACCTTAGCATGGGTGGCACTAAATATTTTCGACTAACTGTATGTGGGAAACAGAAGTTGGGTTTGTCAGGAAACATATAAATGTAAATGGACATGGAAACATACGGTCACTTCTTTGCAGGCGGGACCTATCTCCATTTCAAGTGTCATACTAGTTAAGAAGTTTTCATTTCTCATGCTAATGTTTTTATTGACACGGCTAATTCAGAATTTACTATATATGCAAACATCCTGTTCCTGTGGAATTAAACTCTGAAAATATTGTTTCCCATGCTGAAACATGAAATGAGGTTTTAATAAACCCTGATATCAAATAACCAAAAGTTAGACTATGGATACTATCATCTTTTGGAGAAAATGCTAAATGTAGAGTTAAAAGTCTTTAATTCAAATGTTAGCCATGCCACTTACTGGTTCTTGAAAGTGACTTGTAAATTGCAGATTCTGTAAGAACCTAACAAGTGAACGAAAGCAGGAAAAGCAAGGGATTTTTCCTGGGACAAGATTTGTACTTATATGACTGTTTATTTGTAAGGTGTTGACTGCCTTATGTAAAGGTCTAACAATCAGGGCCTTCTCGTCCTCAATACTGGCTACACCACCACAGGTATTTTGCTGACATTTCTTTATTTTGTCCCAGAAACTACAGGGTTAGTTAGTTAGGAGGGTTGCAAGGACGACCATCACCTTATGGGACTTTATTCCTGGGCTAACAGAGTAGCCAAACATTTGTTCATGAATTTGTCTAGATAACTATTTAATAACATTTAACATAGTAGTTACTCTGTCCCCATTTTATGTATTTTAATTATTTAACATATTTCACCTTGTGGTTATTATATCACAAAAGGGACAATTTATAAAACTGACAACTTGTTAAATAATAATGTTAATTAATTATGTTAGCTTCCCCTGTATAATTGACAGATTAAAATCTATTTCATTCCCTGAGGATAATATTTGATGAGAAATGAGTAAATACTAGCCTGCTTGGATTCCGTGTCTCCCTCTCTTTCTGCCTGTCTCCCACTTGCATATGCATTCTCTCTCTCTCTCTCTCTCTCTCTCTCTCAAAAATAAACAAACAGTAAAAAATTTTTTTTAAAAATAAATGAGTAGGGGCGCCTGGGTAGCTTAGTCGGTTAAGCGTCCGACTTTCGCTTAGGTCATGATCTCGCGGTACGTGGGTTCGAGCCCCGCGTCGGGCTCTGTGCTGACTGCCAGCTCAGAGCCTGGAGCCTGTTTCAGAGTCTGTGACTCCCTCTCTCCCTGACTCTCCCCTGCTCACGCTGTCTCTCTCTCTCCTAGAAATAAATAAAACATTAAAATAAATAAATAAATAAATAAAAATAAAAAATAAATGAGTAAATACTGATTTTCCTTAAGAAGTGGTTTTCCTTTAAAGCGTAAAATGTTAAATAAACAAAGCATTTTCTCTATCTGCTTCAAAGCTCTGCAAGCTTCTGGTACATTCAGCTTGCTCACGCATCTATTCAGCTTTGCAAAAATCAAGCCACTTCTGTTCTGTCAGGACTTACGGAGCTCACAAACACTGTCTTCAGCCACCTCATAAGCATAAATACCTGAGGGAATTACTGGCAGCAGAGAAGAGGTGAACTCTAGTGGCAGTTAGGTTGCTCTAAACCAATGAATCTATGCATAAATCTTTTCTCAGTGACCTGTTTGGCAGGTTGAAGAATATATGTGGAAGCCCTCACCCAGAGAAGAAGAGTAACTAACTTTGAATTATTTTATTATAGCAGGATTCTCATAAAATTTAGAATCAACGTGTGTCGGAGATGTAGTTGACTTATCAATAAGGGGGGCAGCAGAATGGTTAAGCTAACCTAAAGAATGTTTGAGATATATATACACTCGTAATATATGTTATACATACATATTATGTATCTATATGTGTATATCTACCTGTGCACGTGTGTGTACGTATATACAGAAAGAGACAGAGATAGAGAGAAAGAGATTGAGATTGATTTGTATTAAGTCAGTGAGGAAAATAAGACTTGCTGAAATAAGTATACTCAGCGAGAGACACAACTGATTAGTATCCTACAGGGCAATAAAAACCACAACCTTTTGGGTTATCTTTTCTACCAAAGAGAGATCATTTGCACCTCTACTGGAAAAAAAAAATCCATATCATTGACACGTAATTCACAGAACCTGGGCCTAATCAAATGTAACTAGTAATTCAAATACAGGTACAGTCCCTAGAGAATTAGGTAATCCTTGGGCGGTTGTGTTGGACAATGTTCTGATAGTATATTGAAAGGGTGTATTGTTATGCTTTTGTCCTATTTTAAATTAGTACGATTTTCTTTGGTGATACCAATTTCTTCTAGTATCTAAAGGCTGCTGTCTGTAGTTCTAACAGCATCGTACTCTAGTGAAAGCCCCTATTTTGAACTGAATTATCCCCCTTTAACATCATAGAACAGAATTCTGCCCAAATGGAAAGATAATTTTCTTTCCGGAATTTGGCTGAGGTTATGCAGAATTTTAAAATCTGGGGAGAGTCTTTGATCTTAATAAGTATGCCCCAAACAGAGAAACAGGAATTGGCTGTAGATTTAGATAAATATGGCAAACAGGTCCCCAAATATATCCCTATGCCATGTGGAGAAATTCTGAAAAAAAGTGAAAAGCTTTATTACATAAATGTTTATGAATATTTTCAAATAGTGATGTGCTTTTTTTGTTTGCTTATTTTGTTTTGCTTTGCTTATTTATTGTACTTTCATTTTGCCCTGGCTGCTACCATTTAGCCATTGTTGGAATAATGTGTACCATGCTGTACTTGGTGTTCCTCATTTCAGGGTCATGTTCAGCCCTGAAGACCCACAGTTGTCACATATTGCACTGTATTTTGTTTATCTCACAAGGCACATCTTCCTTTTCAGAGCAAAAGTAATATATGTGAGATCTGCATTTTGAATGCAAGATTTATTTGAACCTATCATGGGAAGAACTAATGTCCTTCACTTAATAAAGCTGAAAATCCAACTCCATAATGTATTGTTGCGGGAAAGAATTTTTATTAAAAAATATTGCAATAAGAGGTTACCGAACAGTGTACTGGAGAGCATATGTGGAAGTTTTCACCTGAGGGAGTGAAAGTAAATAACTCTGAATCATTTTATCAAAAGAATGCAGTTAACATTGCAAACCAAGGAAAGAATAATAAATCATAACTCAATACAATTGACCTTTAGACTGCTAAGAGTTTATACACACAATCCCAAATCATGTGGCTTTTTATAATTCAAGATATACTTTAAAAAATACAGACCTCATTGTATAAATTTTAGACTTACAGAATATTGAGATTATACTACAGAATTCCCTTATATCTCAGTTTCCCTTGTTGACATATTACATCAGTATGGTATATTTGTCACAACAAACTAACACTGATATATAATTATTATCGAACGTCTGTATATTATTCAGATTCTCTTAGTTTTAACCTATATTCTGTTGTAGGATTTTTTCCAGGATAACATATTGCATTTAGTCACCATGTCTCCTTATACTCTTTTAGACTGTGACAATTGTTCAAGCTTCCCTTATTTTTGAGGACCTTGGCAGTTTTGAGGAGTGCTGGTCAGGTATTTTGGAGAAGTCTTTTCTGTTGGAATTTGTCTGGTATTTTTCTCATCATTAGATGGGGGCTATGGATTTTTGGAAGGAAGACCATAGAGATAAAGTGTCATTTCCATTACTCTCTACAAACATACATACTATTAATATGATTCCTCACTATTGACATTAACCTTGACCAATGGGTTGAGGTAGGGTTTGCCAGGTTTTTCCACTGTAAAGTAACTCCCTCCCCCCCCTCCTTTTGATACTGTATCTTTTAGGGGCAAGTTACTATGCACAATCTACATTAAAGTGGGGGTTATGCCTCCATTTCTTTTATTTTTAAGCTTATTTGTTTATTTTGAGAGAGAGCATGTGTAAGTGAAAGAGGGGCAGAGAAGAGGGATGAGAGAGAGAGAGAGAGAGAGAGAATCTCAAGCAGGCTCTGCACTGTCAGTGCAGAACCTGATGCAGGGAGTGAACTCACAAACCATGAGATCATGCTCTGAGCCAAAGTTGGATGCTTAACCAAATGAGCCACTGATGTGCCCTGCCCACCAGTTCTTGACAGCAGAGTAGCTACACAAATGATTTGGAACTCTCTGCATGGGAAACTTGGTCTTAAGCTCTATTTATTTATTCAACCAAATACTATCAGGATGGACTCTTGAATACTTATTTTATACTTTGTCTTATGATCCAATCCTGTTTTCTTTTCTCAAATTGCTGCAGCTCTGACCATTGGAATATCTTTCATTTTGCTTATGTGGCCTTTTGATATGCCTCTCTAATTTTTTTCCCCAGCACTTGCATAGTTTGGGCATTACAAGGTGCTCCAAGCTCATCTTTTCTACTTCCTGCCCCAGCCCTAAAATCAGACATTTCTCTAAGGAGCCCTGAATGTGGATTATATGTATGTATGCACTTGTCTAAATTCGTCAATTGCAGACTTAGGTTTTTGTGCAGCTAACTATATATATATTTTGCCTCAAATCAAATTTGTGAACAAGCTTCTTGTTAGTAGGCTTACTTTCCTCAGTGGAATGAGTTAACAATTCTGAAATTAACTTCTGTGCATTCTAGACTTGTGCAAATAGGTAAAAGTATTGAGGATAACGGAATCCAGATTTCTCACTATTCAGCAACAGTGAAAGAGGGATAGTATTATAGGAAGAGGAGAACCATATGTGACCTGTGGTATTGACTTAAAAGTGTAACTGTAGTTATATAGATATAGAAATAGAAACACAGATATTGCAACAAATACAGATATAATATGTAG